AAAACTCTGATACACTGGAACGCCTATAAACAGCTCGGGGCGCTCTAGAGCAGCTCTGGAGTGCTTAAAATGCGTCACTGAACTCACTGGCAAGCGACTATGATATCGGAATTTAAAAAAAAATTAAATAGAAAATCAACAACAAAATTTGAAAAGAAGTGTATTATTTCAAAATGTATTTACATGCTGGCAACGCAGCGGGTCATTAGCTAGTATGGATTAAAATAGCCAAAATGTATGCAGACAAAATTGATAAAATGTTTGATTAATTAACAAAAGTAACACTTTTTCTGAACGCCACTTTCCCGCACTAGTGCGAGAAAAACAAATACGCGCACTAGTGCGGGAAAGTGACATTTAGAGACATTATGTTATTTTAAATTCGATATGAGGTTGGGTTGGTCAGTGCCGTTAATTCTGACCCCTGACCTACCTATTATGTCTACTATGGACAAAACTATCTTAAATGTGAGCAATTTACAATTAATTAAATGTGAAGAAATATGGGAAGCAAGTTTTTTTTTCAAAATTGTGGAATTATCGAGTATTTCATTCTTTTTTATTACAGCAAGCTAAAAAGTGGAAAGTAGGTAGTTTAATTTCTTTTCGTTCAATGCTTTAGATGTGGACCATGGGTGGATAGACTACTAGAACCAGTTTATCTAAAGTTTGTAAGTTCTCCTTACCTACAGTCCTACAACAGCCTATCGAGTAGGTAAACTGGGATTGTCTCGTCTCTGGTACATATTTTGAGTATAATACAGGGTGATTTACGTAGTCCGTGCATCAGCAGGTAGATTAGGGCCGGTTTCCCAATAGCAAAGATTATAGCAAGGCACCCCCTGGTTAAGCATAACTCCAGGGTAAACATAGCAACTGCAACTGCACACGCTTACCCTGGAGTTAAAAATAAAACCAACCCAGAGGTGACCCGCTATTATGTGCCCGCTAGGGAGAAACCGGCCCTAGGTGGTATTTATTTATGCTAATCCACCTGCAAACTGAACAATTTCTAATGCACGGGCCTCGTAAATCAGGCTATATACTTTTTACACTTTTCCGAACTTTCCCGCTCTCCGTAGTTTATATTTTTTTCTTCTAACCGCTCGACGTAACCATATCGCCAAGGCGGTTAGAGAAATGACATACCGTTTTCTAACCCGGTTACAAAGTGACATCTTCGATGCCACTCGAATTTGAGCGGTATGTTGCGGTTTGGTTAAACCGGAGCCACGTGAAAAGGATTATTGAAGGTAAGTACACAGAGTTGCCAAGTTTTTGTTCGTTTTCAAGATATAAGGAAAATGTAAAAAAAATTAAAACTTATTTAATGAATATTTCAAAATCTCTCAACTTTAGAAAAAAGTGTTCATACAAAAGATTTATGATTCTTTCTTCTCTACAAAATGGTGTCATTGTTATCTTCACACAACTTTTAGTTGGATTTACATTTTCCTTTATATCTTGGAAACGAACAAAAAATTGGCAACCCTGTGAACTTACCTCCAATAGAAAATCTGCCACTTTTGTTTATTTTAAAACATAACCGACTTCGTAACTCTTACCGTTTCGGAGATAGCAATAGTAGTATATCACTTAAAATGGCCACAGCTGATTTTGCATCTGTGAGTATGTCTAAACATTTCTCTCTGAGATCTCTTACATTGGTCAGACATACTTTTTCAATGGTTTTTATGTATTATGAGGTTCATAAATTAGGTTTAAGTATTTTCTTTTAGTTTAGTAATATTCTTGTCGCCTGGTCTAGGGCCCTGCGGGGCCCCTAAGTCACGGGGCCCTGCGGGCCCTTAGTTACGCCACTGCAGGTTGCTAAAGTCTGTTTTTTTTTTTAAAGGTAATTCCCCAAGTCAAAAATTTAGTAACTATGTTGGTAACACAAGCCTTTTCTACATAAAAAATTTGAAGCAATGACAATTTTACATTGTATTGCCAACATAATGTCATTTTGACTTTTATCTTTAAAAAAAAAAAAAACAGATTTTAAATACCTATTCAATTCGCATGGATTTCCATCGAATTGCGGGACAATTAAGATATTCAGGTTTAAAGGTTATCATATTTATAGGATGATTAGGAGGAACAATAAAAATATTATTTTCTTGAATTTTGTAAATTTGAAAAAACAAGGTTTCTTTGTGTTTGTATTGATTTTAATTTCGCTTCTAATTCAGCTATATTTATTTGAAAATTTAAATTAGGATATGTATGAATAGAAGTACTTGGAAAATTTAACGGTCAGAGCCACTTAAACTATTATCCTTTATATCAATATTTTTAAAAGAATTTTCTAAATCATCAATATCTGACATTTAGAAATTCCACTTACATAATAATCCATAGGACGAGTGCCATTGCCATTATTTCTTCAGTTTCTTATTCTTGGAGTTTTATGAAGTCTCAGCTTTTTGGTGGCGATTCTATTCCAAGTCTGAATCACTGTTTCCTCGCGAAATGAATCGATTTCGGTATTATTACCAAAGTCCCCTGTCCTGACTACTTTACACGCACAGACACTTTAAGGTGTCAACAGTCGAAGTCCTGATGTCCGCTCAAAACTTTTATTCGCGACTGTAAGTTCTTTTGGATGGCCAATAAATCGTTAGACAAAAAATCGATGCTCGATGTATCAATCTTTGACCATCCTACCGACTGCGCCAATTACGTATCGCAAACACGACACTTTTTAAAAATAATTTTTATTACTAAAACAAAAATGTTTAAAAATACGGGTTAAAATACAATTGTTACAATACGTTGTGAACAATAAGAAAGCGTAGATCTGACTGATTATTGTGAGAGCGAAATAAGCTTAAATGAATATAATATGCTGCGTAAGCCAAAGTAGAATAAAATTGTAAGTAATATTGTCTTGAAGGGTGCATCATCTAACTCACGTCGTAGGACTTCTTCGTTTGTTAGTCTAGCTGTCCAAGGTATCTTAAGGATTCTGCGATACGGCCACATCTTGAAAGCCTCTAATTTGTTAATGTCCAACTATCCATACCGTAAAGAAGCATTGACCAAACGTAGCATTTAATGAATCTGAATCTTAGGTTAAGGTCAAAATCGGAACAGGTAGGTAAGCACTCTTCGAAATCTCAAGAATGCTTGTTCAATGCGACATTCTATTTCCTTGTCTGATGTCCAGTCTTCGAAAAGCCAGACGCCCAAGTACTTAAATTTATCTATTCTCTTTATGGGCCTGTGTTATATTTGGGTTTCTAGAGATAATCATAAACTTTGTTTTTTTGGTGTTGATATTTAAGCCCATTGATTTGCTCTGTTCTCCTACCTTGTTGACTAGTTGTAGGTCGTGTATGTTAGCAATTAAGACGTCAGCATAGCGGATATTGTTAATCCACACTCTATTAACTTTGACTCCCATTTCCAATTCCACGTCTTCCAAAGCCTCCTGGAAAATCGCTTCCGAATATAAGTTGAACAGGAGCGGAGACAGCACACATCCCTGTCGCACCCCTCTTCTTATCTGTATATATTATTACCTAATTTAATTTGCGCTCTTTGGTTCCAGTATAGGTTTTCAATGAATCCAATGTCTTTCTGGTCTAGATCAAGCTTATTGAGGAGCTGCATTAATTTGTGGTGTTGTACGCGATCGTATGCCTTTTCGTAATCTATGTAATATAGGCACACTTCCTTTCTCTGATTGTAGCAGTTTGGGACAAGCACTTGTGTTGCGACTATCGCTTCTCGTGTTCCTAACCCCTGTCTGAACCCAAATTGCGAGGTGCTTATGTCTCTTTCACATAAATTTTCTGGTGTATGATTTCAAGAAATATTTTTAAAGTATGGCTCATCAGGCTAATAAATCTATGATCTTCACATTTTTTAACATTGATCTTCTTAGGCAGAGGTATAAAAGTAGAGCACAACCACTGTTTGGGATGGTGACCTGTCTCATAAGTAAGGTTGAATAATCTATGTAGTGCTGTGATGCCTCTTTCATCTAGGAGTTCAAGTATTTCTGAGAAGGGATTTCATCTGAGCCAGCCACTTTATTATTTTTTGAACTACGTACACTTTCAATCTCGTTCTTAGTGTTCCATGGGCCGGTTAGAGAGTTATTGATACCAGCTGTGGGTCTGTCGTCGTCAAAAAGTTCTTCAATATACCTTTCCCAAACATTGTTCTTCTCTTTGCTGTCGAGGAATATCTGATTGTTATTATTTACTGTTATAGTTGGTCTCATTTTTTTATATATGCTGGCAGTCTCCTTTAGTTTTTTGTGCAGGTTACAGACATCGTGTTGATTTTAGAGCTGCTGTATCTCTGAGCATTCACGTTTAAGCCATTCGTTCTTTGCTATTCTAATCTTTGATCTTATGAGTTTTTGAATATCCTTGTACATGTTGCTGTCTGTTTTCATCCATTAACAACAAAATCTCATCCGTCATCCATTTTTGTTTTTTGTTCTTTACCTTTTATCCTAATCTGTTTTTCATCGAGTTTGTTGCAATGTCCATTATCTTTGTCCAGTCCTCAGATCCAGTCTGATGTTGGCTCTTCTCCAACATTCAATATTGCTTGTATTTGTGTGTTTATCTCATTACACATCTCAGATTTTATTAGTGGGTTCCTCAATTTATCTAACGCCACCCGTCGCTGTGTGGTTGGCTTTCTTTGACTTGACAGAAAGATTTTCAAGACGGCCACCAATAGAACCAATAGTACATGGTCAGAAGGCACATTTACCCTAGGATATCTGAAGGCTCTCTTCATGGTTGAGCTGAATCTTTGGTTGATCAGGATGAAATCTATTTGGTTTCGCACTACATTGTGTGGACGGTCCGCTGGGGACTTCCAGGTATAGAGTCGGCGAGGGTGAAATTGATACTATGTATTTGTCACTTTCATGCAGAATTGTAAAAGTCGATCATCCCTCTCGTTCCTTTCTTCAAGACCACACGATCCACAATAGGAATTATTTGATTGAAAAATTATAACAATTTTTCTTTCAGGGTAACGTCTTAGATCCAGTAACTATAAGCTTAGCAGGTAGTACTCCAGAAGGCAAAGGTTTACATGTTGAGTTAGTTATAGAAGAAGTACGTTTAAGAGTATCCCCTGCAACCATTGAACTTCTAAGTGCGTAAGTAAATGGTACCCCATAAATTCTCAATTTTAAATTAATAAAACCTTAATTTCCAAGGGTGTTGGTTACAATGTCGAAAACACCAGAATCAGAGGAAGTTGAAGAAGAAGAACAATTCACTTATGAATCTCTATGGGATTACAAAGAGGTCCGCGACCAAGATTTCTGGTTTTTGAGGAACGAGGAAGCAGAAGAGGCCTATGAAGAAGATATATTTGAAGTTTCAACAACAACAGCGAACAAAATGAGTTTGCAAGAGTTGTGCATAGTATCAATGCCTTCCATTGTGATTACGTTAGAAGCAGGCGTGGCCAATAAAACTGTACCGTTTTTGCTTTTCGAGACTTCTTTAAAGGCCAGTGTGAAGAATTGGAGCTCACAATTGGGTAAGAATTAGATTTGTATGTCATGAAGATGAAAATATTATTTTCCTTATTGTTAACTACTTCTTAGAAACGAAAATCTATAACTTGTAAGAATTTAATAGCTTTTAGTGTTATATTTCAATTACCCATTGATGTGCGATTTTCTTGACTTGAAATTAAAAATATATATATTTGTTTGTTCAGGAGTTGATGCAACTGTAACAGTCCTTATGGGCTACTACAACAGCAGGCTTGCTTTGTGGGAACCGCTCATAGAACCTGTTGAGAGGAAAGTGAATGATAAATTGGTTTTCCAACCCTGGGAATTGAGGTGTGAGTTGTCTATGAACGAACCAGATGATCCGTTGAACTTTGCCAGTCCTATTTCGGAAAGGGGCGATGAGGTATGAGAAATAATAATCTTTTGTAACAAAATTTTTATTCACTTTAGACTATTCATAAGCTCTGCTTAATACAATAGTTGCATTGAAATTTATAATGTATCTGTGAGAATCAATAAATTATAGGTGGAAGTTCCGGGTTCTCAGCCACCAGTAATGAGCATAGATGTCACCTCGGACCAATCCTTGGAGCTAACAGTGACCAAATCCTGCATAGATGTACTAACGAATCTAGGAAAAGCCTTCGCTTCGGCTATGAAGCCCGAAAAAGTGATTTCCAGCGCGGTTTTGGCCCCCTATAGAGTCCTAAATGAAATCGGAGAAGATGTAACACTCCTACTGGACGAAAGTTCCTTTAAAATCGCTGAAGGTGGTTTGTTGGAGGATATTAATAGATCGGCTGCAGTTCCTTTTGTACTTAAAACTGCTAGGCCTACAGCTATTCAATTGGGCCAGGAATTGAATAGGAATGAACAAGAAACTAATTACTTTTTGCAAGTTAAAGTTAATAAAACAAATTGCGAATTGAGTCTTCCTGTAATCAGGGCCGATAAACGGTTCTTTATGCTTAATTCTCCAAGAGATAACAATAATTGGGGCTTGATATCTGATGTTAAAGTTGATGAAGGGGTTACTTTGGTGACCATAAGAAGTATTTTACAAGTATGTTTGCATTTTTTAATACCCCATTGCTATTTTTAATCTAATAATTATTTAAGATTTATAATCACTTTTCCGTTCCTGTGGACGTTTACTATATGACGCCTCGAGGCAATGAATTAGAACTTGTAGGTTCTGTAGAGCCTAATGGTACACTTAATTTGCCTCTCAAAGCTGTTTATACGCCTACCAGTGAGCTTTTCTTTGGTGTTTCTGGTTATTCCGTTACCACTAGCCCCTATATTTGGAAGGAGTTGCAAACTGACATGAACATAGCGAAAGTATTGCATTGCCCTGTTCTAAGTGATAACGATTCTGGAAAAGGTCCGTTCATTATAAAGACTGTTGGTGAAATGGAACAGGTAAAAAAATAAATGGTGTGTTTTTTGCAACTATAGATGCAAACTATTTTTAGGTTTATTATGAGAATACTACCAGATACACCATGGCTAGTACGTGCTACAATATTCACCTACGTCCAGCTGCCATATTCAAAAACTTCCTACCTCTGCCCATAATTGTTTGTGTAGACGAATTGGCTGAAGAAATTGAGGTAAGACTTTTTGCTGACTTCAATTTAGAACCTAATTTTTCTTACTTTCATAGGTTAAGGCTGGAGATACTTTACAATTGCCCAACGTGGATCCTGGAAAAAGTGTTATTGTCATTAGGGTAAGGATTTTGTTATGTTTATTCTATTACTAATTTTTCAATTCAGCTTCCAGAGTATCTAGAAAAAGAGTGGTCCTGCAGAAAAGAAACAGATATCAACCCAGAAGAATTCGAAGTATGGACTTTCAACAGTTACGACAGCCCTGCCAAAATGTCTTTAGATTTAGGTGTACACACAATTAATAAAGACGGGTCGTTTATTTATTCTTTATACTGTCCATTCTGGATGTTGAATAAAACTGGATTGATGATTGGTTATAGGGTAAGTACTAACTTATTATATAAAACAAATTTTCTTAACAAGGTAGTACAATTTTTATTGAAATCTTACAGAAATCGAAGAAAACTGAAAAAAATGAAGCCATTGGTAGTCCCGCTAAGGTAGCTTTTAATAATCTGGATGTCACTTTTTATATTTTTGTTTAAGCTCCCATAAGTACTATTTTTTCTTATCTATATTTTTGTTGTGCTCATATTTTGCACTTTGCATGCTTTACAATCACCGCCCTCCCTGGTAATTAATAATTTTTGGCTGATGGCATTTTATTGTTTTGCCTGATTGGAAATTTTACAACTCAAATAAGTCCTGGGTTGAGTTTTTTCCCATATATATTTTTTTTTGTAGGGCAGCTTTTAGCTTACAATTTACTGTTTTCGTTCACTTATTGATGTAATTTCACAGAGTTCCGATGAAAATCTCAATGTTCTGCATCATCCGGCTGATTTTAAAGGACCGATATTGTTCTCTTTTAATCCCAGAAACTTTTTTGGTAAAAAAAAGGCTTCAATCAGAGTGGATTCGGGAAATTGGTCAGATAAGTTTTCTCTGGACGTAGCTGGATCATCTGGGGTGGTTTATTGTAAAGCCAATGATAGATCTTATCCTGTAAGTATATCTTTTTCATTTAATCCACTGCCAAAATCACACTGGAACATTTTTATTTGTAGATTGGAGTTCACAATCAATTGACTTATAACAATCTAACAAAGCAAGTAACTTTCACTCCCTATTATGTGATAATCAATGAGGCCCCTTTTGCAATTGAATGCCAGGAAAGCGACAGGCCTGCCGATCCTTGGACTATTATCGAACCAAAGTCGTGCTCGGGTAGGTTTATTTTGTTGTTTCCTGTATAAATATCGTATTTTGGATTATTTCTAGCTTTATGGCCAAGGAGTGAAATGGAAGATAAATTATTAAAAGTCAGAATTGCCGGTACAGATGAAATAACTTCTCCTTTCTTGTATACAGAGAGCCATACTACTTTGTTAAAACTTGACAATAAGGTAAGAATTTTTAGTGATGACAAAAAAGGCGGTTACACACGGGCGTGGATGGCTTGATACGTATACGTGCATACATTAACGTGCAAACAACAACGTGCATGTCGCCTTTATACAGACGCTCGCATAGAACTATCAAAATATGAAATATTTTCTATGGTTCAACCGTCTGGTCATTTTTGGGAACCACTTTGGACGTCCATTTGGCCATCCAGAAATTTTATGAGGTTCCTACTCAATGGTATAGATATCTATGTTCCAAAAAGAACTGTTATAGGTCAGAAGTATCCCTGTTGGTTTGACAAAGAAAAGCAGGATAATCACTGACTCAACTCAATTATTTTAATTTGATTGCATCATGTTAAAAATCTCAAAATTTGAAATCCAAACGCCCAAACGGTGTTTTCTTGTCTTGCGATTCGTGCGACGCGTGCGGCTCGTTTGACCTACCGCGCCTACCTTTACAGGTTAGCTGCCAGTTGACGGCAACGCTGTGCTGGCTGACCGTGATGACGTAGCCAAAAGTTTATTTGGTATAAACTTGGAAACGGAAACTTCAAAAACTCGCGAACACTATTGTTTAATATTTTTATTCTGCTGTTGTGAATTGGTGATAGAGTTTCTTTCCGATGAGTAGTTTAAATAAGAAGCACCAATCTTGTGCAGCAAATGTAGAGGAATCAATCAAAAAGTTGTCAAAAATTCAACATTTTTTCCAGTGGCGCAGCCAGATATTCTGTCTAGTGGTGGGGGGCATGCAGAAAAAAATATAGGAAAAAACCTGAAAAAACACAGAACCAATATCCTTTAATAAACTTTTTATGATATGAGCTTTTGGCCCAGGCACCCTGGCTACGCCACTGACTTTTTCTATTCTGTGCCCTCAACAGATGTGTGTGATGCAACAAATATTTAAAATAATAAAAATGGTAAGAATACCATAACAAAAATTCAAAATCGTATTTTGAAAATTACTATGTTAATATTTTGGAAGTATTCAGCATAAGTAGGCACTAATTTTTATTTATTTATTTCTAGAAAAATTACTAAGGGGGGGGGCTCTAACAAAAGTGGCACCAGGGCCCATCAACACCTTGCTACGGCGCTGATTTAAACTCTACATCACCAAACATTGGTGATATTAAAAAGATCCTTTCTCTGGGTAAAACAACTAACTTGATAATGGTACTGAAATGTAATTTTAAGAGTTATCCACATAGTAAATTTTTTCAAATAAATGAAGTTGTAGGGTCCGGTCTTTGGCCAAACTTCTTGCTGTGTATGTGGAGACTGATGCAAGACTCCTTAGCCAAAAAATTGTCTTAAAAGTAATTCCGTTTACTGATGAATGCAGAATTTCTCCTTTTAATTCAGACAGGGATATTAACGTTTGTGACTATAGAGGGCTTCAAACGATGTTGCAGATAAGGGTTTGGAATTGGTGACTGCGGAAATACAGACAAATTGTTTGGACACCTTAAGTGGTACAAGTGAATCTTTTTTATACCAAGGGAAACCAAGTATAATTTGTCCCTAGCTTTGCTAAACATCCAATCTATCAGGAATAAGGTGAATGAACTAGAAATATTTCTGGAATCTGTGGATTTTCCCAATATTTTAATTTTAGTAGAACATTGGCTCAAAGAGAATGAACCCTTAAATATTGAAAATTATAGTTTGTTGTCCAAATTTTCTCGTCGACAGTTTTTACATAGGGGAACCTTAGTTACGCTCCATGACTGTTTTATGGAAAAATACAAATTTGTTAGTGTAAATAAATTTGATAACTTGTTGGAGTAAAAAACCTTTGAGTTATATATATATATATATATATATATATATATATATATATATATATATATATATATATATAAATTATTTTGTTTCGCGTTTTTCTTTGACCTTTTTTTAATATATATTTAGATTTTTGTAGTTTATTGGTTTATGGTCGAAACGTTAAACTTATTATAATCTACATAAAACTCTCTGCTGTTTTATTATGACCTAAAACCAATAAACTACAAAAATCTAAATATATATATATATATATATTAACAATGTACAGGGTGGGCCAAATTGGACACTTTCTTATGGAAACACCCTTTAATTTTAGGGATAGAAAAAAATGGACCCCCCACTTTGAGGTTCAAATTTCATGAAATCTTGATTGGTGCAATACGTATTTTGATACCTTCAACCGTTTAGCCGCTAGAGGGCGATTCTCGATTTTGAGCAATACTGTAAAGTCTTCATACCTTTTTTGTTTATAAAAATAATTCATTTCCGTAAAGACCTTTTGGAAGCACTTTTTCAAGCAGAATTCAGTGACGTTTTCAGTTTTTTTCTGTTTGGCTTCGATTTCGAGATATTGACCAAAACCCGATTTTTTTATCGAACCTAAAAATAAAGGGTGTTTCCATAAGAAAGTGTCCAATTTGGACCACCCGTACAGATCTCCTCTAGGAAACATTGAGCAAGTCTTGGATAGGATAGAGTCCCTTGTATGTTCCATTCCTATAAACTCTCGATTAATTTTATGTGGAGATTTAAATATAGATTTTTCCAAGCATTTGGACAGATATACCGAAATCCTTATGTAATCTTCTAAATTCTCTTAATTTGAGTATGCATGTAAATCAGGCAACCAGAGTTACTTCTTTGTTAAGCTCAATAATTGATTAGTTCTGCTCAAATTTTGGCCTAGATGAAGTTCAATGTGTGGTATCCAGTGCCGGGTTGTCTGATCATGAAGCTGTACTAGGCTGTGTGGATCTTGATGTGTGTAAAAGTGGATCTTCTATCAAGAAAGGTAGGCTCTACAGCAAAAAAAAAAATTAATAAATTCAAATCGCTTTGTGAATTCGCTGTGTGATATTCCTTTGGAGCAATTCCATAATGTATTGTGTATAAATTTTTATAGTGCTTTCCCCATTATATCCATTAAAATGGCTAAGAAAAAAGTTTGGTATACAAAGGGCCTTAGAGTCTCTGGAAGGAACATGCGTGCGCTACATTATATGTATATGCAAATACTCAATGGATAATGATAAATTTCTTGAATACTACTACCACTATAATTGTCGTAAAAAGCTTGTGGAAATTGCAAAAAGGTCTTATTTTGATGAGAGGATTGAGAGGGCATCAAACAAATCAAAGGAGGCATGGAAAATCGTAAGCGACTTGCGAGGCAATAGGAACGTTCTTCAGGTCTCGGTAACATTGAAAGCAGATCAGCTTAACTTCTTTTATTGTTCCTTAGCAGCCAATCTGGCTGATACTATTCCATAAACTGGCGATCCATTAAAGTACTTATCTCACATAAATGTATCTAACACGTTTTTACTTGCACCTGTACGTGTGCAGGAACTGAAAGATGTTTTTTCTGTAATCAGGAACAAAACCTCTTCTGGATGGGATAAGATCTCCCTGAGGATCCTGTTAGCGCTTCCAAAGGTGTTGAACAGTTTGGTGGATGCTATAAACCACTCATTTCTGACGGGGATTTTTCCAGCATGTTTAAAGAGAGCAATGATCGTTCCTCTGCACAAAAGTAGGTATGCTGATGACCCTTCCACCCTTCCGTCTTATAGCTCTGCTTCCCACATTGGCCAAGGTTGTCGAGAAACTAGTCAAGACCCGCGTAATGTCATATTTGGATAAATACAACATCTTGAGTGGCCATCAGTTTGGATTTCAGCGCGGCAGTGGTACTGGGGATGCCATCTTCAACCACCTTCAACTTTCTCGAATATCTTTACAGGAGGATGAATGTTTGCGACATTGCTGCGGCGGTGTGGGTGTTCTGTGATTTATCGAAGGCATTCGACTGCGTGAATCACGGAATACTGCTCAGGAAGCTGGAAAGGTATGGATTTAGGAGCAAGTCCTTGAGATGGTTTGAGTCCTATTTATGTGATAGAGTCATTTAATGGTGAAAATTCACGAGAACGGAATATCAATGCTGGTGTTCCGCAAGGCTCTGTTCTTGGCCCTTTACTGTTTTTACTATATGCCAACGATCTGCCACAAATTCCCATAAAGGTGGCCTTTACTATGTTTGCTGATGATACAACTATTTTGTGGCATGGTGTAGATCTGGCAGTGTTAACCAGCAGCATTTCTCACGATCTGTTGGAAGTGAAAAATTGGTGTGATTCTAATTTTCTAAGTTTTAATGCAACAAAAATAAGTATCCTATCTTTTAAATGTGTTGTTCAGGGTATTTCTATAGATGCTTTACCACTCCCAGCTCTTGAATTTAACCGATTTCTGGGCCTAACCATTGACAGTTCCTTGAGGTTTGAGGAACACATATCTAAGGTATGTAAAAAAACTTGTTCTGGATGTTATGCCCTTAAGGTATTAACGTACAATCTAGATTTCGCTATGGCCAAAAATTCGTACAATGCTATAATAGAACCCCATCTTCGCTACAGCATGGCGTTTTGGGGTGCGTGCTCTCAATATTTATTTACCTCAGTATTTCTACTGCAAAAGAGAGCAATTCGTTATCTCTGTGCTGCAAAAGTTCATGACTCCTGCCGTGGTTTTTTTTAGCCAGTGTGGAATATTAACCCTTTGCTCGTTGTTCATCCTGGAGACGGTAACTTTAATTTTTAAAAAATATAGGAATGAACTTAACCACATTGGACCATATCCGACCTGTCATCCCTTCTCATTGAATCTTCCAATACCTCACTCTCAACTTGTTAAAAGGTCCTTTTTATATGAGGGCAAAAAACTTTTTAACCATTGGCCCACAGAGGTTAGGAGGATTAATTGCTTGAAAAAAATCAAGAGAGCGGTAAAAAAGGTATTAGCACCTGGGGCATATTATACTTTGGCTGAATTTTATGAGACTGTTCTTGTACGTTTTCTTTAGTAAAGAGAATTGTTCTTAATCTGTTACGATTTTTTATATTGTCTGAAAGCGAGAGAAGCTCATCATCTTCATGCTGAGCGTAAACTTTTGTGAATAGTTCTGCAAAATTTTCAGCTATTTCAGAGTCATCAGTTATTAAAATATCCGAGTTTTTCCAGTTAATTTTGGAAACACTTGAATTGAGATTGTGTTTGACATATTTAAAAAACTGCTCATTGTTAGGGGAAGAGACAAGTTTTTTCTCAAATTCGCTTTTAGAGATTCTTATTTTGTTCTTAAGTTGATTGTCGTGGGTCCTGTAGATCCTATATTTTTCCTCTGAGGGTGATTTTGAATAGCTATCCCATAGATTTTTCTTTTTGTCTATCTCCTTAAATAAGTGATCGTTCAACCATGGTTTTTTTAGATTTACCTTGGATGTGGTTAGAGGAATACATTTTGAAATTGCATCTTCGATGATGTCAATGCATCTGTCATGTCATACTTATTTGCCGAATGCTGGTTAGAGTTGAAGTTCTGCTGGCCTAGAAAAAGGTTAATTTGATCATAGTCCGCCTTCCAGAAGTTTCTTTTTGTGATTTTTTGCGTTAATCTTTCTTTGCACTTCATTTGAGATTTTGCAGTAATTACTATATGATCGCTACGGCCCAATGGTGGATGCTGTTCAATGTCAAAGAGTAGTTTTTTGTTGTTTACTAGAATGAGATCTAGCAAGGACCTCTGATCATTTCGAAATCTCGTTGGGAAGTTGACTAGTTGCTCGTCGACTATGTACATATACACAGATATTTCCAGGGAACAGGCTTCTGTTAAAGCTGCTATCATTTCAGTGTCAGTTTGTTCGATTCAATAATCAATTCTGTATACACAGCAAAGTAACAGCTTTAGGTTGTCAATTTTTAGTTCAACCCAAAGAGATTCAACTGGGGGTGAAGTTTGAAATTTTTTGGATATGCATGCATGAATTCTGTGGCCACAAACTTCTTCCTTAATATTTATACATATCCCCCCTCCAGTCTGTCCTCTGTCCCGCTTAAATAAGCTATAGCCTGTTATCCTGTAACGCTAACTATACTGTCATTGATTTGGCTGTTAAGCCAAGTTTCTGTTATACACATAAAAGTTGGTGTGTGTGTTTGTATTGATGTCATCCATTCACCGATTTTGTTTGTACATGATTGTATATTTGTGTACTATAGGCAGACTTCAATTGTGTTATTTTTTAGTTTTTTGTGGCGTTTGTGTTATTAGGAACAATTCTAGGGATGGAGTTAACATACTTTATTTTAAGATTTAATTCGCCCCCTTCTGTTCGTTTTTTTAGCTGTTCAAGTGTTTCTTTCAGGAAGTTTCTTTGCAAAGGTGTTTGTTCGGCTTTTATGTAAATTTTTTTTGAAACATCAAGCTAGTTTCTGTTTGTGGTTCTGTATCTTGTGACGTATTTTGTGACGTCTGGCGTCCCCCAGGGTTCGCATGTCGGTCCTGTGCTCTTTTCATAAATGATGTTCTATTATGTTTTAAAACATCCCAATGTCTCTTATACGGCGACGACCTCAAACTCTTTATCTCGGTTGGCCCTGGTCTCGATGGCTTGTTAAAGTATTGTTCTGTGATCTGGTCACCTCATTATACGCTTGTCGTGTACAAAGACTGTGAAGTAAAAGAAAACCTCTAGAATACAGGCTTTAATAAACTCGTAATATTACTATACTGAGCATATAACTAACATTGACACACTATGAAGGTTGGCAAATAATAAAGTTAACAAGATATAAAATACAGGACATTTTAAAAGTTTCTAAATATATAACATTCACCCCTACTCGGTTTTATAATCTTTTAAATAGACAGGAAACTTCTTTTGACATTTTGGTCGGTTCAAGGAATAGTCAGTTATATTTTCTACAACTTCATCGCGTAAATTCCTAAATGGTGTTACAGGTATCGCATCAAAATTTCCAGCATCAGAATCGTTGTAATTGAGTTGTTGAATGGGATCTGATTCACTACATTGGTCGTTGTTTTGATCATAAGGTTCGTTTCTATATGTTCTATATTCTACATTCATATCTTCATTCGACATTTCTTGATGCAGAGCAGAATCTCCTCTTTGGTGCAAGGTGGCGTGTTGAAACAGTTGTTCCTTTACCATTAGCTAATCTGATATGAGCATAATCAGAGTTAGCTTCTAGGAGTTGCACTTCTTTCACGATTGGTTCATACTTGCTTTGTCTTACATGCTTCTTCAGGAAGACTAGACCAGCAATACTCAACCAGGTTGGAATTGAAGAATCATTTGTAGATCTTCGAGAACATTCTTTCATGCGGTGAACAATTTGTTGCTGTTCATAACAAATACCTTATCGAATGTAAAGAGTCGACCAGTACCTGCTGCCAATGTCTTAGATTCATGTTTCTTGATTTAAGAGCTAACCAAATGGTTTTCCATGAAATACCATTATACCGTTCACACTGCTCGTTTCCTTGCGGGTTATAAGGAGTAGTGCGACTAGTTGTAATCCCATGTCGTGTTAAGAATGTTTCCAGTTCTTCAGACATAAATGATGTCTCTCTATCACAGGTACGATGGTGTCCCAAAAATAGAAAAAAGTTGAGTTAAGCAATTTATAATAGTTGATGAGGTCATTTCAGGACAAGCAAAGCCTAATGGGAATCTAGAAAATTAATCCACAATAGTCAAAATATAGCGGTTTTGGTTCTCAGATGGCAATGGACCTTTAAAATCTACAAATCTACATTCTTTCGAAAGGGGCAGTAGCTTTTATGATGGTCCCTTGATTTCTATGAAACCTTGGTTTGATCTCAGCACAAACGGTACAGGTGGTTGAAATTCTCTTGATATCGTCTAGTGAGAAAGGTAGATTCTTACATCAGACCCAGTGATACAGTCTTGTTATACCAGGATGACAGAGAGAATTATGTAGATAATACTATGTTGTCACTAGAAGAAGGTAAAATCGCAGAAGATATTCTTGAAAATGTATCTGCCACGATATTTTGATTTCCAGATCTGTATATGATATCATATTTATAAGATGATAGTTCCAGATGCCACCGCATTATTGTTTCATTTTTGATTTCAGAATTACTTAGTGGATAATTGATCATAAAAGCGACCGATTTCTTGTCAGTTACGAGCTTAAGGTAACCTCCGATCAGAAAATGTCTCCATTTACGAAGTGCTTCCACTATAACATAGGCTTCTTTTTCTACGGAAGAATGTCGCTGTTCGGATTTCGTCAATGTTCTAAAGAAAAACGCCACTGGTTTTCCAGATTGTATAAGTTGAGCAGCAATAGCATATTCCGATGCTTCAGTTTCAACATTAAAAGTGGCTGTGAAAAGTGGCTTCATCGTCAATGGAAATAACAACAGCGTTTCGTATATCAAATGTCAGAATTTTCATGTTTTGATTTTTCGATTGACAGACATGGGTGAAATGACCTTTCCACAGACCTTTCTTTCCGCAGTAGTAACAAATAGAATTTTTCGCTGGACATTTATCTCTGACATGTCTAGATCTATTACAAAAATAGCATTTAAAAGCGACAGCTGCTATAGCATGGTCATTTTTGATCTGTACATTCGAAGAAGAATTGTCAGGAGTTTGATGAGAGATCGCAGCATTCATATTTGAACAGAAAGGTGTTAGATAAGATTCGGAATGTTGCTGAGCCATTTCAAGTGCTCTAGCAGTATCAAATGCTTGTGTCAAGCTCAAAGCCTCAAAGTACAATGTTCCAAAAGCCTTTGTCTTATATGAAAAGATGTAAGACCAGTTATGAAAGTATCTCTGATGTAATTGTCCCTATTTTGATCTGCATTGACTGCTTGGCTCATGAGCTTCAGGGCTTGTGAATATGGATCTATAGACTAACTCACCAAAGTATCACGAAAAATATATAACAGACTGGAAAGATTTGACCGGCCGTGAAAGCCTTTCATTCTTTATTCAGACTAGAAAGAGTTCAAAGTAAATTTCTTAAATACCTGTTGTATAAGCTTCACTTTCCTTATAGTAAGTAACGTTCCTTATAGATCGTCAGCTAATGACAGATTTTGCTGACCGATTTTTTCTCTTCGGGGATTTCAACCACTGAAAATTATGTGAGTGTTGAGCTCAAAAAATAAAAATTTAGCGACCGGACGTCTGTTAGGCATATGGAAAATTTACTTCCCTTTTGTAGCGGCCGTAAAATATACTTCAATAGCTGACCGGCTTATGGGAATTTTTTTCTGGTTCCTAACGATATCAAATTTGATTCTGTCGATTGCCATAAGCGAGAAAACGATCAGTAACCCTTTCAGTACGTGCAAACCTTATGGCTTTGGTTTTTCATTATTAGATTGATTAGATTGTCCTAAGGTTATAATAGGTATTTCCACGATTTTGCTCTTTACTTTGTTAGTTTGGTATCTGTTAAGAGGATGTTGAGAGATTTGTAATTTGCCTTTCCTGTAGGGAGTGGCTGACTGTGCCACTTCGTTATGTCCTTTGTTGGTTGTGAATCTTTGTTTTTGTTTTTTATCTTTGTACCATTTAGAATATTATATTCTGTAGTGTATTGAATTTGTAAATAACTAAATAAATAAAACTGTCAATCTTGCTACAGTTTTCCAAGTGTGCATACAAAATTTCTAGCTATTCCAGAATTCACCTGACCGTCATTCTACTGCTTGCACATTCAAAATCGCGATGATATTTTGCATAATGTTTTTGTTTGCGCGTTCATGTATGTGCGTACATGTTTTCAGGTATCCACGCTCGAGTGTAACCGCCTAAAACATTTGAGTACAGTTTTGATCATTAGTAAATGACATATTATTTTAGTATGGCGGTATAAACGTTGATATACAACTAAATGAAGGATCCACTTACATCAATTTTGCCCCGTACGCAATTGGTTGTGCCCCAGCATTAATCATCAATCATACGATTCACGATTTCAATTTCTGGGAGAAGGAATCGGTACAAATAAGGTAAAATGTTGTCATTTTTGTAAGCTTAATAGTATTTTAATTGTAATTATTTTAGAACACTAAAACCAAAAACTCAAATGTTGTATACCTGGGAAAATCCTTCTGGCCCCCGAAAACTAGTCTGGGAGAAGGGCCATAAAATGGAAATCGAAAACGATCTCAGAAAAGACGGTTGCGGTAGTTTCCACCCGACGGAACAATCCGAAGTTTATTGGTCATCATTTTTGAACGGTATGCAACGTGTACTGTTATTCACCGACGTAAGATCCTTAGCCACGAGTGCGTCGAATGTTTTGGAAATTATACAGCAAGAAATCACGGTGTCCTTGCAAGGTTTCGGACTATCTTTGGTCAATAATCTAACTAGACAAGAAATTATGTACATCGGAATCGCCAGCAGTGGGATCATTTGGGAAACTTGCAAGCTGAATCGAAAACGATTCAAGCCTTTAGCTGTCAAAGAATCGACGCATATAGAGCAAGCTTATCAGCATTATATGGTGCAATTACAAGGTTCAGATGAGTCTATTGGATCGGTGCTTATCGATAATAAATGGGAAGTCGACTTTGACTTGCAACTAATGTCTAAACCAAGAAAAAGGAAAATAAGGTGAGTGAGAGTGGTAACTATAATATTTTATTAATTATTACATTGGTGTTAAGCGATAACATATGTACAAACTTAGCAAAAATAACAAATACAATTTTATCACAATTCCTAAGTTGGTTATTCCAAATTTCCATATTCCATGCTCTAGGAACACTTTTACATTCTATCAAACTCTCCAAGAGATACATTAAATATATCAATATCCAATCTATTTAATGAATTAGCCATTCTGTTCAAAGGCGAGTTCATTTCATAATTTTTTCTATGAAAACCAATATGCCACCAGGAAAAATTCCTTGTTATCTTTTGAGGAACTTGTAGATATACCACTTCCAACAATCTGGGACCATCAAAACTATTATTCATAGATTTAAACAAGAATCGAGTCGATATTTAATAAATTTTGCAAGGAGACATAATCAATTTCCTGTTTTGGCAAAAATTTCCTTGTATTTAAAATAATGTGGATTCCAAACTGGACTGGCATATTCAATAAAAGGACGAACTAAGGAACCATATAACAACTTAAAACAGTATATGTTGTCAGCTTCCTCCAATGTGTATGAACCCCGACAATCCCTTGTGCTACCCCTTTACAAGCGAGAAAAGGATTAACAATCTATAATAAATACAATCTGGGATTTTACAGGAGAACATTCCAAACAGGCGTATGGCTGAATCTAAAAACCAGCCCTAGTCAACTGCAGTTACACGCTAAAATCAACCGGGTACAAATTGACAATCAAATGTTTGACTGTATCTTCCCTGTAGTCTTAGCTCCAATTCCACCACCAAAGAGTGTAGCCGCAGATAGTGGTAAGTACCTTATGAGACTTCAATTGAAAGTGTTTCAATAAACATTTCTTTTTTAGGCGTCAAACCATTTATCGAAGTCAGTATAGTGCAACTTCTAATCAAAAACAGTCTAATCAGGCAATTTAAATATTTCAAAGTTCTAGTACAAGAATTCCATATCAAAGTAGATCTTGGTTTTATCAATGCCATCGTTGATATGATGCAACAGGGTGAGAACACTGACGAAGAAGATGTAAGAACGATTGTGGTAAATAATTAAATTGTTCATTATCATTGGTGTTTTCAGAGGCAACTTTTCGTAACGGACATGCAATTGGTCAACCAAGCCCTTTACTCGCACGCAACCAGCCAGGCGCTTCAAGAGCAAAAGAGTTTCTACGATTTGTTACATTTTTCACCGTTGAAAATTCACATTTCGTTTTCGTTGGCTGCTGGTTCTTCGGCAGGTCAAAGTGCCTCTACTCCCAACTTCCTCAACGTTTTGTTGCAGGGTGTCGGCGTCACATTGACTGATTTACAGGATGTTGTTTTCAAGTAAGAATTTTTCAGTCAAACCAAAAATAATTCACGCATTTATATTTTCAGACTGTCCTTTTTCGAACGCGACTACATATTCCTCACCCAAAAACAACTAATCGGCGAAACAACCAGCCATTACGTAGGACAAGCCGTCAAACAGTTATACGTGTTGGTATTAGGCCTCGACGTAATCGGCAACCCATATGGTCTAGTTGTTGGTATATCGAAAGGAGTTGAAGATTTGTTTTATGAGCCATTCCAGGGTGCTATTCAGGGCCCCAGCGAGTTTGCTGAAGGATTAGCTTTGGGTGTAAGAAGTCTATTTGGTCACACTGTTGGAGGCGTTATGGGTGCTGCTGGGAGAATTACGGGTGCCATGGGCAAAGGTATTGCGGCTTTAACGTTTGACGAGGATTTCCAAAGAAAGAGACGTGACCAGATTAATAAGAAACCGGCCACTGTTCAAGAGGGGATTGCTAGGAGTGGCAAAGGACTTGTCATGGTATGAGTTTTTTTCATACAAAATTTTTGTACTCTCAATTCAATATTCTATTTTAAAATGGACATTTAGTATAATACAAAATTATTCCAGGGAGTATTTGATGGTGTCACTGGTGTATTCACAAAACCGGTGAGTGGTGCCAAAGAGCAAGGAGTCGAAGGCTTTTTCAAAGGTTTAGGAAAAGGTTGTGTAGGTCTAGTAACAAGACCGGCAGCCGGCTTGGTAGATTTTGCTAGTGGCTCTTTAGATGCCGTCAAAAGGTAGGTTTAATTAATAATAACTATTCACATGTTTGATTAATTTTTTTTCTAGAGTGACTGAAGTCGGTGAAGATACCCTGAGATTGCGTCCTCCTCGGTTCTTGCCTGCCGACGGCTTAGTAAGACCCTACAATTCAATGGAAGCCGAAGGCCATAAATTACTAAGGGAAGCTAATAAGGGCAAATACGCAACAACAGATATCTATGTTTATCATAAGGTGGTCATCGAGAAAAAGGAAATTCTATTGTTGACTGATAAACGTATGGCTTATGTGGAGCATAATGATTTGTTTGGTGGATGGCAGGTATGAATTTTGAAAATCACACTGGAGCTCACAATTGGTAGAATAGAACTTCATATTTGGTATGTGTGTGGACCATCTTTTGGTGCAAATTAAAAGTTAAATTTAATTTCCTTCTCCACTGCAAACCCCAAATTGCTTTGCTGTTCTGCTCGTTGAGGGAATGCTGAATGCTAGCAAATGCGAACAGAATGTTTTATTCACGTTTTTCATTGTTTTTTGTAGTGCTAACATACGTCTGAGAGGTAGATTTTGCTGTGCAAGATTTTTCTGTGCAATGGTCTTTGAGTCTTATCATTTACTTAAATATCCAAGAGATAGTTATAATTTGCCATGCAATAATTTTTTGAGAACTCTTTAGGTCCCCTTATAGCTATTATTTTAAACTAGGAAGAATTCTTTGTACTATTCTTCTGAAACGAGCTTTTTTCCAGTACTAGGAATATTTCCTATAATCTGTTGAGTAATATCTGTAGATTTCTCTCTACTAGATAGAGATTTTCCAATAAACCTATTGAGAATTCCAACCTAATTTGGAGAGCTAGAATTTGCTGTGTGATGCTCTTCTTAGTCTTTGCAAACAACAGTGTGTAGGGCAAAGAAACATATTATCCCTATTAGATTCTTTCAAAAATATCCAATACATTAACACTATAGTTTCTCTGGCCATTTTATTGTAAATTTGTTTTTTAGATTCATTGGTCGTACACTTGGCAAGAATTGCACCATCCAGCCAAAGTTGTTCCTAAAGGTGTCCAACTCAATACCTCAGACGGCAAGAAAAAGAAGCTATTTGGATCCAATGATACTACAAAGATCATACTTATCGGAGACCCGGCTGCAAAAGAGGAACTTTGTTCGAAAATTGAACAGCTACGCAGGGCCTAGCACATGTATATTTGCACTGAATAGGAAATGACAAAAATGTGCCTAATAATATTTATATAGCGGTTTTGTTTTATAAAATTTTATAAAATTTCTTCTGCTTATCTTAACAAATTCAGGGAAATGAAATTTTAGGAACACTTGATTTGCTAAATGTGTGTAGCAATGATAGAACTCTAATCAATGACATGTTGCACTTTCATTTTAAAATTAGATCTGGACTGTTTACTTATTGAGCATTTTTCTATGTTGTAATTTTATATTTTCCTTTATTGGGAAACTATTATAGGGTGATATATTTTGTCTCTCCAGTGCATCTTATCACTTTTAAAGTATTTATTGAGACATTTTTAAACTATACAAATTGGCTATAGTAGGGTTTTACACAATTTTTTTTTTTGCTTTTGTATCACATTTATATTCTATTTCTCTTTTGTATTATCACATATTGTTGTTGTTTTTTTTTTGATTTATTAATAAAGCTTTTTTGGTTGAAACACTAGACTAGTTTTTATAGTTTCATGAAATGTTTTTCGTCCAAAAGGAAATTGTCATAATCACTATGTATGGTATTTCTACTGGGATGTTTTCCACACAACTTTGTCATTGTGGCGGAAAATATGAAAAGTAGTGGACTGTATGATTTGAAAAAAAGAGAAAATTTTGAAATACACGATACGCACAGATCACTTACCTTTGAAAAGGGCTTCTGTTGGTTCTCTGGGTACTGGTCCAAAATGAAGAGGATTAAATTCTGTGTCTATCGTCTTGAAGAAGTCTGTTCCATTAATAAAAAATAAGGGCAGTTTTGCTGTAGTATAGTCGAACCGAACGATATTTTTACGGATCGCGTAGCGAGTCCTACTCTTCAGCTGAGAATGTATTATTTCTGATCTTGGATAAAGCAGCATAAAACTGTGTGCGCATATAATAAACGAAATATCAGTAATAAAAAATAGACAAGATCAAATTCTGTAGATTGCTCTGCACATTATTATATTACTAAAATAAGCCAAAAAGCCTTAAGAGTTTCTTAAACAAAACAGTCATGTTCTACAAGTTTCTCTATAGGTTGTTAATTTTTTTAGATACTGGCCTTCAAAATGAAACAATTCCTTTCAAATTTAACTATTTATTTTTTTCTCTAAATTTCAATGTGTATAAAACAAACAAAAAACGAAATAATAAGTATAAAATTGTCATACTATGTATTATGTAATTTTAAATGCAGAATATAAAAACGAGTTTTTCACTTACAAGCTAATAATATATGACACACTATGATAACATGAGATAAGGGAATATGCAAGAAGCAAAATGAGTTTGGCTTTGAAATTATTACATATAAATTAAATGGATAATGGAAAACTTACTAGCACCTTATAAAATACTGTATACTGACTTGAGAGATTCCATAATAATTTATATCAAGCCCTATAAATATAATTATCAATGTTTTTAGCAGTACATAACAAAATATATTTAGTTTCAAGCGCCTATTTTTTGACAAAAATACAGATTGTCTTACATAAAAATATCAGTATACACTTAGAATTTTGCCTTAATGTTTTAGGTATAGTATAAAGGAATATTTTTATTAAATATGTGGGTTAGTAGAGTAAAATAATAACCTTTAGAGATAGGATACAATTTAAAGTTCATATAGATATAGTACAAATATGGAAGGTATTTTCAACTAAAATAAAGGACATTTTTTTCTCTGCCAAGGTGTAAAACATAACAGACATTAAATTAATTATACAAAAAATTCCTCATTGAGAAACAATAATAATTATTTTTAGGCTAAAGATTAACAGAAGTCTCTGCTGTAGTTGCACGTGTTTTTCTGAAATCACAATATTCGTCACATGGATGAACCTAAAAATCATTTATAGAAGCTATATGGGCAAAGCCAAGTATATAATACATGAGTTAACCTTCTATATTGTACTATGCATATAATGAATGCTCAATTATTTTGAGCACTGAGCAACAAATAAGTTCAATAATACATAAAATGTTCTACCTCCAATTGACGTAACTCTAATGTTAGGAATCTGACTTAGAATGGGAATAAACAGTCTTTTTGTTCATTGAGAAATAACATAAATTATTTCTACACGCTACACTATCATGTATATGAGAGTAGGGTATTAAAACTAGGTTACAATAAGACAGATAAGATGCAATTTTTTTTATATCCAAATAGACCTATCTATTTTTACCTGTATGCGCGCGCAACACGAGGCAATGCATTTTTATTGGCTAACTAATACAGGTGAGAGGTGTTCGTTTTGCACTCTAGGCATCTGCTTGTCTTTTTTCATTGCCCGTGGTGTGACAAGGATCAGAATTATGGTTGATAAATAACTTGACGTAGCTTGACAAGTGATCGATTTTCAATTGTTTGTGTTTTTGATTGACAAATACGTTGCACGTGACGCGGTTTTCCTCCTTCCCTTTCTATCCTGTGCAAAGAATAAGAATGGATTGCTATACATAAGTCTAACATGGTTTGGTATGTTTTGCCTCGTCTTGCAACATAAGCGTTCTGCGTCTTTTTCTATGTAATAAAGTTTTCGTATTATTACCTCTTTGTCTGGTAAAATAGATAGGTCTATTGACTCGATTCAAAATCAAAAATTTAAAATAATGTTGAATCAGTCCTGAGAGATTTCGGTGTAGAAAAATCCTTAATTGGTAATTGTATTCGAACGCTATTAAATCTACTTCCTGAGATTTTTCACCTACATTAACTTCAAAAAAAGTCTGCCTTAGTGTAATGCTAGTTGATCAAATTTGAGTTTTTGTTAAGCATTCTATAAACACACAGATTTTGTCTAAAATGTAAACTTGAGGACAGTTTCAAAATTGACTTAGTTTGTAAAAACATTAACAAAAACCCCATTGATCATTAAGATTCTTATTCAAATCGTTTCATTGCTAATTCCAACTTCTTCTGGCCAACTATCGACTACCTTATCATCTCCAGATACTTTTGTTTGTGCTTAGCTAACATCTCTGTCACAGTCACTAGAGTTTTTATGGACTGATTCATCTGAAAAACAACACTGTGTATTATTATGAAAACATTTATTACATATTTGGTAATATAAATTTCACCGCAACTTTTAAATTCGGATCTCAATTAGTGAGAAAAAATTAAACCTTGGCCTAGATAGTCCACATTTTTGTGACGTTACTATACTCACTTTTCCCACAGCCTGTAATTCCGTCAAATGAGCAACGCAAATATGATGCAAAGTTGCCAGTTCTTTGGCAGTGTCCGGTTTGGACATAATCCTAGGTTCACCGGGATCACCAATAGCTGATAATTGATCTAAGAACACAACCATTCGTTCCTTGTTTTTAAGTATGAAGGGATTGACTACTTCCATGTAGGGTTCCTGAAATCGATATGAAAAAATTATTTAAATTATGAAATTATGTGTATTTAGGATGAATCCTATCTCAGTGATTTATTATGAACATAACTTAGTGAGTTGGAGATTTTAAATGGTATTAAAAAATTCATAATTCTGTTATGTATTACAGTAGAACCCCGATTATCCGACTCGCAATTATATCTGGATTAACCAAATCAATCTGAAGACCCAAAGACCCTGATTATTTGAGGTACGCGCGTCTATACTCTGTATCAACCCTGCTTCAAAAATATATACATACTACATACTCTATCCATTTTCTTTTTGGTACTTTGTGAAATTGTGTCTAGCCTGATTGTAGAATAAATAACTTTTACCTTGCCACCAAATTCAATTAAATTTGCCAAATTTTGTAAGCATTTGGCAACCATCACGAGGCTTCTGGTAGCTGCAGGACTAGGTTGTTCGCTCACCAATCCAAATTGTCTTGGATTCAGTAATGCAGGGCACAATAGTCTAGAAAAATACTCAATTTAGTAACATAAAAACACAATTTTTATTATTATACCTGAGAAAGACGAATCCCGAAACAACCCTGGTTCTGACATGTCTCTCGTCAGCCCATTTGGCTACAGCAGCTTTTTGAAGACAGCCACATATGTAACGTACTGGACGAGGACAGGCATCTGGCGATGTGAAAATACTCAACGTGACTTGATCCAATACCTACAAAAATTTACTTGATGTAAAATTAAATTATTTTTGTAGATTTCTGCAGGAACACAATTGTCTTATTTCGGAATGATTCTGTAAGTAGTACCTGTAGTAAAAACTCTGCATTATTACACGCATCATCCAAAGAATCCATTTTAGCAGGATTCAACTCTGCCGATTGCTTACTTTCTAATAATCTCAGCACGATTTCCAAAACAGCTGCCTAAAATATACAAAACATTAAAAAAAAAAACACACACACACAATAATAATATTACATACTTGCAAAAACCCTCCACATTCGGCCTTCATATACAAATCCATAAGAGTAGTAGCCAAAGAAGCTGCCCTAAACAAAGTACTAGTTTCAGTTTCCCTTGTAATTTCCGCTGTATTGAGTTCTCTGAGCAATTCAGTTTCGCGTCCTTCCGCCCTAAAGACTCTCAACAAAGCCGTAGCCAGAGGAGCCCTATCGGCATGACACAATTCAGCCAAAGTTTTAACAGAAGCCAAACCGGGTTCTAAGAGGAGCTGTTGCAATGGGCTGTATTCTTCTGCGGGCATTACCAAATCGTGGAGATAACGAGTTCTGAGCCTTAGGGAGCCCCATTCGCCCATTGGAGTTAGGCCGGACAAAGAATACCATTCTTCACGTTCTTCGCCATTGCCTAGTGCTGAAAGGTCTACGTGGAGTTCAGCAACTTCAGTATCTTTTCCTCGTTTGCCTTTGTTATACACAGTTAGGGAGAATGATACTATGTCACATGGCACATCACTGAAAAAAAAGTGGTTTTCGTTTAGTTTTATCCGTTCGTGAATAACTTCATCAGATCAGCAGTTTCAAATAGGTTTTGACCTTTTTGTGATTTGCGACGAATATCTTCAGTAAAAACAGATTTGAACAAGTTAATGTGTACCAAGAATGTCCAATATTCCAAAATTGAATAATAAAATATGTATAAATTTAATCTCTTCCTAACTAGGCCTAGTCACGCAAGTATCATCAAGCTTGGCATAGATTTAAAGAATAATTATCTATAAAACATACTCGAATACAAATTCTTCATCCCAAACAGGATCCGGAGTACTCTTGGCTCGTGTTCTAGCTATCCGAACCTGACCATTGAACTGTATTGTAACATAGGGCAGTGGAACCAATTTATATGGTAGTCTGTGAGCATCCAATACATGAAGCGTCAAGCAACGAAGTTCACGTAATCTTGGAACCTGTTTTCAAACAAAATATAAGATAATTTGAAATATAGTGTTGGTTTTGGTTACAAACTTTTGCAGTAGCTCTGCTCAATTGTGGTAAACACAATGGTTTCAAAGCATTGGCCCATTCTTGGCATTCTTCAGGTGACCGTGCAGCTAAATGTGTGGCAGTGGCCAAACATGGCAGTGCTCTTTCGACGACTTGAAGGCAATTGGACCTCTCCCAAAGGCTATCGTGAACTTGATATAAATATGCACAAGACAAGTCAATCAAACCTTTTGGCTTAGTCCTTTTTGGGTTTTCGTAAAAACATAAATGAGTATCGGCGCCATCCACTAATAAGACAAAATATAGTAGTTTCCATTTTTTGGCGCCTTTGTCTGACTTTCTATGAAGGTATCCTTGATGCTAAATGAAATAAAATTTATTATAAAAATGCATATTTACATACTAGAAATGTTAATACCTTTATGCCTCTCATTTTCTTCAATCCAGCCTGATCTCTGCATTCTCTAAGCGTAGCATAAATTTTCTCCGCTTCGGATTTGGCTTTTTGGTTTTCTGGAACCCAATCCAGTTGTTTGCTACCATCAACAACCAGCTGAAATTTTTAATAAATTAAAATAAAACCAATTCAATGTCTGTATTTTACTCACAGGATGTTGCAAAGTATATCCCTCTACGATTTGTTCCTTCCTATATCGGTTGATCACTGCATCTAAACATTCAAAGATTCTGCCTCCCATCAAATACCTAACGCCTTTCTTTTCGATTCTAAATCGTTGAATTTGGTTATTTATATGAAAAAACAATGAGTAATCACCAGGAGAATTATCACTAGGTCTCACTAAAAAGCTTCCTGGACCAGCTAAAAAAGCATACATTTTAGCATGAGGATAATCTCTGGGAACTCAAAATGAAATTACCTTTCACTAACAGATCTACAGCTTCATTTTTTGTACAATTTGGATGAAACCAAGGAAATACTGTATTTGGATCTATGCTATCATCTAAGTCCTCAACTAGTTCTCTGAATATCATTCCTGAAATATTTTCGCTATACACATATTTCTTACTTTATAAGAAAAACTCACCTTGTTCTCCAGTTCTGTGTGCAGTAACCCACAACCAACCGTTATCCATATCGTTATGGACAAAGAAAATATCACCTTTTTTAAATGTCAACTCATCAGTGTCAGGCATTTTGGTGTAAGGCAATATGGCTACCACCCTCTATGTAAAAATCATTAATAATCCATCAATTTGTTAAAATAAAATAAATGCTCACTTTTTTATCATTGACAGGTTCTGGTGGTGCCACAGGAATTACCAACTTTTCCCTCTTGAGCAAATCACTGCATTCAGTATAATAACCGACCAAATCGTTTAATGAGACAAATTGTCTGCCTCCTATGTAGAAATCTCCACATACAGCAGTTATCCTATTTAAATTACATAATTCAATATATTTAACATTTTTTTTATATACAATATTTTACCTAAAATGATTCATTCCAGTACGCCCTAGATAAGATAAAACATAAGACCCAGGCTTCCTGTCACTTTCTCTGACTAGATACGATCCTAACTTGTTAGAATTCCATAATCTTTCTTCTGCCTGATACCTGCATGTTTATAACGCAAATTCAAATATAAATCTAATTTTGCTTCAATCAAGAATATACCTGTCAAGTCTTCCATGATACCACAGCGACTCGGCAGGAGCGTAATGTGCAGAATCCCCTAAATCAGGATCTTCAGGTTCTTTTGCTTGAGCTCCTATCGGTTCATTGGGTTCGTTGCCGTCGTCACTTCCAGTACTGGGCGAACCAAGTTGTTTTTCTTTATGTCTTAAATCAGCCATTGTGTTGTAGATTGTACACTTGAAATAAGAGAATAGATTTTAAAATGGATCTATTAAGAAATTTACTATTTAATACAAAAGCTGTGTTTTGTGTCACATACCTAACTAAATTAGTTGCCCAGTGGACCAGTTGAGTTGGATTCAAGCTGCTTTCTGGCCTGCGAGACTGGTGCTAGAAAAATATAAAGGGAAAATTCTTATTATTTTTATTTTATTTATGTAGTATATGCCAATATTTTTTATAACTTTTAGATGAAGAATCAGCAGCTATTGACAGATTATATATGAAAAAATAGGTTTCAATAACCAATGTGACACCAACAGCGATCACCGTTTGACCAGAGCAGCAACAAATCAATCCAAACTAGATGGGAAACATGAACTGAGAGTTTGCCTCCCCATTTTTGAGCAATATATTATGGCTCAATGATGTGATAAATGTGAAGTTACCAGCCATAGAGATTTGCATAGTTACTTTACCCCAACAATGATAGCATCATTTCAAATTATCACACACTTAGACTGGAACCTCGACTGGATCCCTGTGCATGTTTGTTTGACAAAGACCTTACAGTGCAAATTTTTTAGTTAAACAATCAACGGTTAAAACAAGAAAATAGTTAAAAAAATACTTTAAACTTGACGTCTTTCTGTTTCCTTGAGGAATAATAAGTACATCAAGAATAATTTTGGTTATGTCTCCCTCGAGCTATTCTTATTGTGAAGTTTCATATTGACATCACTAATTTTCCAGAAATACATCGAAATAATTTCTTATTAAGTTTTCGAAGTTTGTTTCAAAGTTGATTTTCGAGAATTTCTCATGTTGCTTTTTCGTGGATTCAAAATTTCAATGGTAAGCTCTTAACTTTATTCTTCTCGACCCAAAATTTTCACAGGTTTTCCAGAAAAACAATAAAATGGTGTAGTTTTCAATGGAACAATTCGAAATTTTCATATGGTGAGATCCTAACTTTCCTTTTTTACTGGATTAATTTGAGTAAGTATGATGACTTCACTCCAAAAATAGCAAAATTTTTAAAATAGGTAATGGTTTTCCAGAAAAAAAAATCCAAAATGTTAGAGAGTGCATTTTCTTTATAATATAGCCAAGAATATAGCTTTCATAAGTTGATTTTCAAAAATTTCTCATGTTGTTTTTTACTAGATCAATTCGAAACTTCAACATGCAACATGATAAGCTGCTAACGTTTCTAGTATCACCCCAAAATGTTTGAAATTCTTTCTTTTAATGATTCCGTATTGACTACCTATTTGCTAACATGTGTAAGGATGACTTTATTGTATAAAAATATTATGTTTTAGTTGTTTCAAGTATTTGTATTTCAACAGTTGTATGACTCGTAAAAACACAATCTAAGGTGTAATATTACTAATAAAAAACTAAACTATTGTTTTCAGTTAAAAATCCTTTTGCAATCATAATAATTTATGTAAACATTTTTTTTGTTTTAGTCCGAGTCGGAGGGGAAAAACTTGTTGAAAAATTGAAGGGCTACTAAAAAATATTAGGAAGTTATTTCAACATTTTCTGTTCGAGAACTGTTATTTCCAATGTTAGCAATAATTCAGATAAGAAATCTTATTTATTTAAAGAAAGCTGGGCAAATACAGATTACTAGTAAAAAGTTAAATAATATTGAATATTTGGGATAATATCAATATATTCAAAGTCGCAATTTTGGAGACTTTTATTAGAAAACATCAATTATTGTGAGATAAAAGAAATACAACCTAAGGCTCAAATTTTATGAAATCTTCATTTGTGCATAAAATATTTTAGTAAAGCCACTGTGTCACGTTATAGGTGCTGTTTTTGGTGATGGCAAATTTCCTGAATGCCTGTTATTATTCCTCTTTATAAACAAGAGGACAGAAAATCGATGAACAACTATCGGCCAATAGCACTAAACCAGTACAATTAGTAAAATTATAGAAAAATGTCTCAAAAGTAAGTTAGTTCAATTTTAAGAGAAACACAAAAATTTTGAACGATAGTCAGTTCGCTTTCAGAAGATACTGTGGCACACCGAATCCTGTACAAACGTCTGGAACATATTGGAATTCGAGGTAATCCTAATAATTTAATTATGTGATATCTGACTAAAAGAAAACAAAGTGTCGATATCAGGGGAGAAGAAAGTGACAGACTAGAGGTAGGATTCGGCTTGCCACAGGGTACTGTATTGTCGCCTTTACTGTTCAATATTTATGTAAATCAGATATTTATTTTCAGTTTCAGATGAGGGTAATGTTTTTTGCTTTGCTGATGATACTGTGGTGGTGATCTGTGGGGATCATTGGGAAGAAACAAAAAAAATGGCAGAAATGGTACTTTTTAAAATTGAAAGTTGGGTAGATACTTCCTTGCTCTCATTAAATGTTGATAAGACTAAATTTGTTGCTTTTTCGTTATCCTCGCGGTCACTTCATAGTATGAGGTAGTGCTGGAGTAACTATAATGAATAAATAACAAATAACTCAAAAGTGGAAGTTAAAGATAACAGTCAAAATGACATTATGTTGGCAATACAATGTAAAATTGTCAATACTTTCAAATTTTTATGTAGAAAAGGCTTGCGTTGCCAACATAGTTACTGAATTTTTGACTTGGGGTATTATCTTTAAAAAAAAAAAACAGACTTTAGAACATACCGAACGCACCTGTTATATAATGAAAGTTATTTGCTGACTCCTAATCTACTTTTTTTTAAATCCGTTATTAAATTTATGCTAAAAAACTCAACATATCGAGAAGCTATAAATCATAATATTAATACAAGAAGTGTAATGCAAAATAATGTTATGTTGCAAAACCCTAGACATGCTGTGTGTCAAACTCACATTTATTGTGTAGGTGTAGGACCTAAAATTTACAATAACTTGCCTGTAAGTATAAGATCAAAACCTTAACACTTAGTAAATAAAACAGTTAATGAGTGGTTAATTGAAAGTAATTTTAAAATAAACTATCTAATATAATATTATAACATAGATATTTATTTAATTACATATAACTAATTATAAAAATTGTTACTTACCTCAAAAGACTTATTATTAATAAGTTAGAAAAGCACACTCACAGTATTTAAAATACCATTGTGTGCTATTAATTGCAATAGTGAGGAATTTTTTAACCTTAAAGTTAAATTACTATAGAATACTGTTAAAATTTTGTTACTATTATCAACTATTAGGATTTATTCTATTGTTCCTTTATAGCTACTATTGCCAATAGATAAATAAATAAATAAATATCGAGATAAATATAGTAATAATAATAATAATAATAATAAACGTCTTTATTCTGGAAAAAAAAAGAAATGTGTACAAAAGACAGTACACACTATATGGCAGGAATGGCGAGATTTAACTAAAGTTATTCTTACACCTAACCATTCCCTGCCACACAATATGCCAAGAAATAAAAAAAAAAAAAAAAATACAGTTATTAATTGCAATTATATAATCAAAGTAGAGAAACCAAAAAAAAAAAAATATATATACCGGCAGCCTTATTCTGTAACTTGCGACCGAGAGAATTGCGCAATTGTCGCTGTCAAATCGCTATTTGACGAGAATTTTCCATTTAAAAAAAGCAACTAGCGACCGGTTGCTGGTTGCTATGTAATTGCTGTTCATAGAGAATAGGCCTGCGGGTGACCACGAGATTACTGACCAAGCTCTAGTTCAGGCATGAATATTATTGATATCGGTGCAGAGTTTCGCTATAAAAACAATCGACTAGCGCTTCTGGTTTGACCGCAAGTGCCATCAACTACTTTATTTCAACTAGATCACCCCCTATATTATTACATTTTTGGATTCTATGAGAAATTCTAAGCAGATTTTATGTATAATATCCTATACCTAACTTTAAGAGTTTTCAAGAAAATCGCGATTGAAAATGTCAAAAAATAATTATTATTTTAGTTTTGACAGCAAACAATGGAAAGAAGGTTGAAGCTTTTACGATATTTTTAACTCATTTCAGAAGCACTAAAGGGTCCCACAACAAAAATAAAACTTCTGGGTGTTTACTCTTTTTATAAGTGTTTACTTTGGACTCTAATTTTTGGATTTTTGGATTTTAATAACTTAACTTCCTTTAAAGAAATTGAAAATAAATTTTTATTCTGAAATGTATATCACTTTTCTAAATACGACCCTGTCGTTTATCCCAGCTGACGGAATCGAAGCGCTAACGCATGCTGACAACCTAAAGAAAAAGTTTACTAAAAATGTCAACGCGAACTGTCAACTTCACTTTCTATCGTGATTTAGTCTATATTATACCATACTTAGAACTAAAAATTCGTATTCTAAGAACAATTTTGAATCTTTTTTGTGTACGCTTTCCTATACCTAAAGTCTATTGTTTTTGAGATATTTGACACTTGATGTAAGGATGTCTTCGGAACAACGAATACCAAAAAAAGTATAGCATTAATTTTAATCCTTTTTAAAAATTTATTCAAATAGTCAGTATTGTTCACGTTTGCGTCCCTAACTTTTTGGACTATTTGCGACCTTTGGGTAACAGTGCAAATCGGGAATCAAGCAACACAACAAATGAGACTTATCTTTTAAACTGCATTCTGTGTGATCTATTTAAATAAACTTATAAAAAGGATTAAAATTAATTCTGTTAATACTGTTTTTGGTATTCGTTGTTCCAAAGACATCCTTACATCAAGTGTAAAATATCTCAAAAACAGTAGACTTTAGGTATAGGAAAGCGTATACAAAAAAGATTCAAAATTGTTCCTAGAATACGAATTTTCAGTTCTAAGTATGGGATACCATTGAAATTATTGCAGTAACATAACCACAAAAGTAGACCGACCGAAAACCTTCGATTGAACCGGAACTGATATTTTTGTGGTGGGACCCTTTAGTGCTTCTAAAATGAGTCAAAAATATCGTAAAAGTTCCAACCTACTATTCAATGTTTGCTGTCAAAACTAAAATAGAAATTATTTTTTGACATTTTCAATCGCGATTTTCTTGAAAACTGTTTAAGTTAGGTATAGGATATTATACATAAAATATGCTTAGAATTTCTCATAGAATCCAAAAATGTAATAATATAGGAGGTGATCTAGTTGAAATAAAGAAGTTAATGGCACTTGCGGTCAAACCAGAAGCGAT